AGCAACATGGCAGGTGGAGATGATACGCAGGTTTTTCTCTGCCTGCATACTGGGAGCTTCCAGCCGCAAGCGGTTGTTTATGTAGCAGCGCATTCGATTCGTTCGTGCACTTCTTCTGCACCAGCACTTGCGGGCATTCCTCCCTTTATTGGTTTCGTTTGCTGGACAGGATAACGGCCGCTAATGGGTATTTAAAGACCACTCTAGACCACTGGCCATTATTGTTTTCTGAGATCATGGACTTTCTGCTCGTTTGCACCTTTTTAGACAGTTCCCCGAGGGACATTTCGTAGTGTCAGTGGGGAATTTACGTAATCATACGATGAATGAAGAGCGCCTTGTGCGCTGTGTGCTCTGCTGGTGCTTTACAAGTATTTGCGGCGCCTTTGCCCGCATCATTCGCCGTTAGTCACAGTTTCAGGCCTTCAGCCTCAGGGTGTACACAATCATGAGGCTCTGCTCTTATCGGCAACTGCTCTTTTGGGCATACCCAACTCCCGTTTGTACACAGAGTAAAACCTCCAGTGGGGCTCAGACTGCTTTGGAAATTGTGTTAGCCTGTTTAGGCAAAAGCGACATTTCAGGCCAAGGATGGACCCATTGCCACAGAAACTCAGTGGGACCGGACTTCTCGTCGTAACCCTGGCCGCTAGTTTTGAATCTCAAGGGAATAAAGACAAAGCACTAGCAAGTGATTCATTGCTTCGAGGTTGTCCTTGGAAAACGGCAAAAGGCGGCCTTGAAGCTGTATATGCCTCCAGTCAGGCTTTGTCCCTTTTTAGGAGAAGAGCTAGAGGGAGTGTAATCACTGCGGCTGCAAACACTATGCAATATCGGCTTCATATGACCATGGCAAAAGTATAAGCTGCTGTTTATTCGCACAAGATATCAACATCTGTTTTATGTTGTTCATACTCTAGTCTACACCTAGCTTGCGCCAGGTGAATAAGTAGAATATGCAAGATGAATATACGCATATACAAAGCCCACACCAANACCTAGCTTGCGCCAGGTGAATAAGTAGAATATGCAAGATGAATATACGCATATACAAAGCCCACACCAAAGAACAGATGATGCGTGGTGTGTGGAGAGAGAATTCGCATTCTGAACCTTCATCTGGTGCAGCCAACTGTCAAGTGGGCTTTCCGTATGCCTCGAGAACGGCGCTGCAGCAGTTCACAAAGAGAAGCGCACCAAATGAGGTGATTCAGATTGCTAGTTCACCGAATATGCTTCTAAAAACAAGTAGAACACTCCCGTTAACGAGACCAGGTCCACAGTTAACTGAACGAGAAGTGATGCAACGAACGTGACTCTTCGGAATAGCGAGTTCACCTGCCAGGTATCACAGACGTCCCTTCAGCGTTGGTGACAGCAATATCTGCACATGAGCTGATGTACCAGGGCCAAACTTGAGGAAGTTGAATTGACTGCTTAAGCGGCATTGCTACAGACTGACTGGCGCAGCAACCTCCACACGGCTCGGTTGTCCTGGGCAGTCTTGGGGCCGTCTGCCTTGTCANGACTGACTGGCGCAGCAACCTCCACACGGCTCGGTTGTCCTGGGCAGTCTTGGGGCCGTCTGCCTTGTCAGCCTTTCCAAGCACTCCTTCACAGAGTCTGCGTAGCTGTTGACAATGGAAGATGGGAACGAGCCGTCGGGTCCAAAAAGAGTAGTCAAAATGAATACGGACTCTGTGTAAGAACTGAGAATGCAGAGGTCAGCGAAACGCCTGAAGCCCGCGCATTTCCTGAGCTTGGAGTTCTCCTGCAACAGTGACACCACACTAGAGTAAAAGAAATAGCGAAAAAGTACTGAGTGTCCTAAAACAGAAAACGAAGGAAATGAAAATGCATACAAACTCACCCCCAGAGAAAATAACGCCTGCGCTACGTCCCATATAGCCCATGCA